ATCTCCCCTTCTGCCCTGGGCTATTCACATTTCCTAAATCATCCTATCACACCTTCCCTGTCAGAATTTTACCGTGCTTATTTTGATGTAGTGTGGTGTGCTCCTTCGAGCGTCATCCATGAAAACCCTTCACAATCCATGTGGCGTTCAACGAAGGTCAGGTGTTTTGCCATATCACATTCATTTAGTGTGATTGTCGACGTGAAGCAAACCTATATTTTCTATAACAATCGACTACGTTACTTATTTTCGTATTTGAGTAGAGTTTAGAGACTACCAGTAAATCAGTAACATGAGATGTATTCACTCAATTTCGTCTAATCTGATGATATGAATAGAGCTGACGTTTCCATTCCATTTCCTAAAAGTTGTTCTCATCCATGCGCCAGTGGACTACAGTATCTTATCAACTCTACCAGCACTTCATCACCTTAAATGAAATAGAGTGAATACATGCGAAGAAAAGTTGGGTTTCGAGGAATCTCTTGTTTTATAATTGTTGAGCTTGCTTCCATTTCGAGTGAAGGTATTGGGTGAACAGACTCGAAGGTCGTTTCCACCAGAAGACGACGGCGGATTCCTCTTGACCAGCTGTCAATTGGCTTTACTGGAACATTCAAGCTGACATTGTTTCCGAGGTAATCTCCTTCGATTCCGGTGAAAAGGTGCTAAGCTTTCGTGCTTCATATGACGAACATCATCAGAGCAAGATATCGTCGCCACGACTAAATTAAAGCTAACGAGTCAAGAAAGCTCCGTAACTTATCAAATCTTTTTTCACCTCATCTTAACTCGTTGGCTTTAATTTGGTTGTGACGATGATACTTTGCTCTAATGACGTTCGTCATTTGACGGACGAAAGCTTCGCAACTTTCACCGGAATCGAAGGAGATTGCCTCGGAAACAGTGTCAGCATGAATGTTCCAGTAAAGCATCGTCTTCTGGCGGAACCGACCTTCGAATCTCTTCACCCAACACTTTCACTCGAAACGGAAGTAGGCTCAACAATAATGTGGTATCACCAAGTGCTCATGTACACGAGCATATCTTGCTTGCGACGGGTGAAATTCGTTGATAAAAAAATTAGAAATAGGGCAATAGAGTGACGTAAAATATAGCATCCAAAGACTAGTATTAGTCTTGTATCAAGCGAAAATATTCTGCAGTCCTAACTACTATTTATATAAATGAGTATATCATACAACCCAAATTTCAGCGGAAATCAGTCGTCGTCTTCTGGTTAGATCGACCTACCAATCTCTTCTTCATGCAATTTATACGAAGCCAAAGTATCCCCAACAGACTCTTCATTGGGTTGAAATTGTGTGTCGACGTATCAATGTGCACTCGGTAAACTCTTCAAAGTCGGTTTCTCTTCATTTTGCGCCATCTGCTGGTAGATTTTCCAAATCACACCTTTTCGTCTATAGTGCTTGGTGTCGTGTCCTATTAAAAGTAATCGCTTTAGATTTCTTTTGCAAGCAAGGGCTTATGAATTCCGCCATTGTCGACCTCAGTTGCGACAAGTCTTTGCTTTTCTTCCCAAAGCTGTGC